TGTAGCCCGTCGATCCCATACATAAAGACAGACTGAATGTGTATAAATGTATACCCAGGGCTGCTACACCAGCACTTGAATAATACCAAAATGCCATAGCAGAAAACCTGGTAAGTGCTCATAATGCACTAAGCCCAAATCATGTAAAGAGTCAACTCCTGCAACTAAAATGTAATGTATGAAATATGTAAATAGAAAAAAATAAAAAAATATATAAATAGAAAAATGCATGACCCCATAGAATAAACTTTAATAAAAATCATTAAATAAAAAATATATATATTGAAAATATATGAATAAAAATCAATATATAAAAAATCAAAAAATAGAAAAAACGTGTAAAAAACATATATAAAAACAAATCGCAAAACTGATATAAAAAATGAGTTTTAAAATTAAAAAAGGAGAAAAAATTTAATAAACATAAAGGAACCACCTCTAGACATATGCCAATCACCCATCGTATAGCTCTGTGGCCCTGCAGGGTCGCAGGTAGGAGGTGAGAGGCCATTCCAGCCGGTTTTGGATTGCACTTTGTGGTGTGCGGGTCCACATACAGTCTACTGATTCTGCATGAGTGGAGGGAATTTGATACGGATCACTGGACTTTCTTATGATATGTGCACTGTGTGTAGGGGTCTCACATGTGTTTTATTTTGCAATTTTATTGATCTAGTTCCATCACGCACTATTTTGCCCTTTGTACATGTTGATGATCGTATCATTATGTCAGATTGTTTATGGGCCTAATATGATTCTTTTGGTTTAGCGCTACATCACTTTTTGTTTTTTACATTTTATTAGATCTATAGATATTGGATCAGATGTTAGCAGCTTTACTTATTTATTCATTTGATTTTTTACATAAGAGCGCAAGTAGACTTTGTATATCAAAACTGTTAGAGTGGTTTCTCCTCATTTCCTGTCTGGGGGACAACCTTTTCACCAGACAGAAAGTGAAGAAAACTCCCCAACGGAGTCTCAGAAACCTAACCGTTCTAATCCTTCCCTACTCTATCCAAACTACCGAAAAAAAAAAAGTTCTGGGTATACAAAACTGTAGGTCTAGAAATGTTTTAAAGTGTATCTTTATTAAAAAACATGCATAACATTGTAATTTACATGTGTAATAGAAGAGCAAAATGTCTTGCTATAGCAAAAAGGGGAGTTCTTTATTGGTAATGAAATATATAACTGTATATGTGTTTTTGTCCTGATCACCTGACATACTTTTGTGAATGGTGATGGGCTTTGTTTCCTGGCCTGTTATGTCACAGTACTTTTATTTGGGGATTGGATAAAATATGAAGCCTGGTCAGATAAGTGTCAAGACAGATCACATATGCAATGAAAACGGTGCAAGTACAGAGAAATACTCCATTATTCTACGAAAAAAAAATCTAACTTCCTTTTGATTCTGCTGCAGTGAAGTCTCAAGCAGGGATATCGGTTACATAACACTACCCCCCCCCCCCCATGTGGAGAGGGAGAGGGGTCCTGGTGTCCAACTTAAGAGGACTGTGCAGGACTGACTTTCAATGCAGCAGAGGCACTTTGTTTTCAGCTCTAACAAGTTAGGAGTAGACTGGATATCTGGCAGATCAGCATTTTTTTCATTTTTGTATTTTCAGCATTTTTAAAGACACAAAGCATGGCAATTGCATGCGCATTGCAGAAATGTACTGCATGTGTTTTGTTTTTTTTTTGTCTCTAATTATGTCCATCCCTAGCTCTAGTGGAACATTAACTGTAAAGAGCAAATATGTACATTTTGAATATTGCTCTTCATATTGAAAGACTTGTTTGTAAAATGGCTTTACAAGAGCTAGTTTCCGGTGGGTAACTTGCCAGCCTCAAGAATGCTAATGAAAGCACTGGCCTGCTACCTCGCTGACCAACATGGATTGAGCAGCAGAGGTGGGGAGGGGGGTTGTTGGTGATCATGTCACTAGCAGCAAGGGTTTTCTATCTGTGGGTCACTTTTGTGATCCTGTTGGTAAGCTATGAGCAGCAATGTCAAACTTTCCAAGCACACAAACATGCTTTATATTCTGTTTTAACCTGGTCATAGATCAAAAGATTTCTCTCAATAGAGAAATAGGGAAATAACTCTATTCCCCAATCCACGCCAAACAATGCAGATGGATGAATCTCCTCTGCCAGTTATTGTATTCTGACTGCCAGCACCAGTAGCTGTCAGGATACTCCTAACTGATCAAACAGTTGACTTTAGTCAAGCCAACATGGTCACCCACAAAGCTAATTTTAGCCAATTCCAAATTCAATCCGTTTATGGCCATTTTTAAGAATGACCTTGGTTCCACTGATTCTCAGAACCATGTTGACTGGCAATTTTATGCACTCTTCACTCTTGTATATAGGCGTGGGTGCCCATGTGCTATCATGGGTTTGGCCCTTTATTTCTTCCCACAGGGTGCAATACGAATCAATGAAACAGCTTTTGATTATTTTGAATCATTGAACGGTACCGGACAGGGCTGTCCCCTATTGCCCTTAATTTTTGTGTTGACACTTGAACCATTACTATGTTCCATAAGGGCAAATCCAAACATTATGGGACTTTCAAGAACGGGGGTGATGGGGCTGCTGCAGCAGTAACCTGTAACATGTTACATACGTATTCCGGGTGTAAAATGTAACAAAGAGTCAACTTTAATGCCTACACACAGTTTTATATCATCACAACTGTGTATCCAGGTGGATTATACCTTTTTTTCCGGACAATATGGTGGTAAATGGTAATGGATATCACCTATTTTTTTTTCTATTATCAAAGGTAAATTGGCCCACAGGAGTAGAAAGGAAATGTATATTTTTTTAAATTTAGCTATCTTTTTCTTGCTAATACCATTCTTTACCACCAAAGAACAAGCCAAAATACCTTCCCTGTTTCTGACGATCGCATCAATTCCACATATGTGAACGTTTGTTTCTTGGCCTTACTATGGGTACAAACCACTACTTTGCACGTTTTTGCTTTTTTTAGCCTACGTAAAACACACTGACACTAACTGATACTAATTTAAAAACTGAAAAAAAAAATAATTCTAACTCTGGCACTGACCTAGATAAAACTTTGAAACAATTAAAATTGGAACCCCATTCCATTTGGACCCCACTCCATTTGAAAACTTGTGTTATGGATACGTCTTGCACGCCTTATTTTAGATGTACAAATTATTGGCATCCCCCTTTTTGATTTGTCCCATCTTTCATCTGTAAGTGGGTGGATTTACAGGTGATTTACTCTCAGGCCCAAATTGAACAGGCAATATTGTTTGCACAAAAGTCCTCCATTGTCATCACATTTCAAGAACGGAGCTATGAGATCTTATCTCGGTGGTATAGGGTCCCATTCACGAGATCTAAAATCTTCCTGTGCATTTCCAATTTATGCTGCGCTGTGGTTTTGGAGAGGGCACCTATTTACATATTTTCAGAAACTACTAAATAATTTGTCCATTCTGGGAACAAGTGAGACAGCTTGTATTTAAAGCGATATTAAAGGTTGAGTTTTTTTTTTTTTTTTAAATAACAAACATGTTATACTTACTGCTCTGTGCAGTGGTTTTGCACAGAGCAGCCTGGATCCTCTTATTGGGTTCCCTGCTGGCGCTCCTGGCTCCTCCTTCCTGTTGGTTGCCCCATAGCAAGCAGTTTGCTATGGGGGCACCTGAGCAGGCACATTCCCGAGCTGCTGCTCTGTGTATCCATTCACACAGAGGTGCGGCTTGGCCCTGCCTCCTCTTCTCTTTTGCTCACTGGCTGTGATTGCCAATGGCTCCCACTGATGTATCTGCCATTGAGGAGGCAGAGACCTGGGACAGCCGATGTTCTCGTGCACATCGCTGGATTGCGATGGGGTTCCGGTACGTATTAGGGAGGCTGGGGGGGCTGCTGCGCACAGGTTTTTTACCTTCATGCATAGAATGCATGAAGGATAAAAACCTTGAGCCCTTACAACCACTTTAAGCTTACGTCAGTGGAGCTGGGCATTCATCCAGTGAGTTACTTCACCTTAATAGTGTACCACTCACCCATTTTAAATCTTCACTTACAGTACACCTTTTGAACACAGCCCGGGCTTGTATTCCATCCCTATTAAAGCAACCTACTACTGCTCCTATATCCTTGTGGCTGGCCAAAATCAATGACATTGAACATATGGGAAGACTTACTGCCTCCTTTAATCACAGAGAGGAGAAATGTTTTAACATATGGTAACCATGGTCTATCTTCTCTTGTTCTTCTGCACGTCAGGAGTTAATACATCCCTCTGCTGTGGGAAGACCTTCATGTAATCCTGGCCTACAGCATAGTTTTGAGTAGCTGGCTCTATGCTAGAACACACCTACTGGGTCTCTACGATACGCCCTGCTAAGGTGTCTGCTGTCATTGAAACTCTCCTCTTGGCATACTCCTTCCCATCCCTGTCAACCCCCCCCCCCCCCCTTTTTTTTTTGCTTTTCTTTTCTTTCTCCTCTTGATTATTTCTGTTTTAATAACAATAAAATTTTAATCTCTGGAAGATCTGAATTCTGGTAGACAGCAGCTTTGAGAGGTCTGTCTTGCACTCTTGGTTGTAAGCCTATTCCTTGCTGTTATTTGGCTTTCTTGCATTATGTTTTGTATTTATTATCAGAGGGCATTGTCCTTATAACACTGATGTTACAGCTGTACATGTTGATTTCTGCCTGAGCCTGATTCTGAGATAATTGTCAACCCCTGCCTTATGTTAAAGAATTGGCCTTGGTAGCGTTAGCACATGTAGGAAAAAACTCTTAAGTCACAATTCAATGGTTTTCAAATACTGAAAAAAAAGTTTCCAAAACCGAAACAATATTTCCCAGCAATCAATTTTTACTTTAGATCTTTTAGGATAGTATGCATGCTGCAAACACAACAATATTCAACATTTTTATTGGTGCTGAAGTTACTCAGTAGGCACTGATAATATTAAGCTGTCATAGCAATGACACATGATATGGCTCATTATTTCTGTACCTTTCAGGTTATCCTTGGTTCTAAATTTTAATGAAATTTGTTCTCAATCCTACAGAGCAGCCTTAGAAGAAGTTGAAGGGGATGTATCAGAACTTGAGCAGAAGCTTGACAAGGTAAACTATTCAGTCATACTTGTCTTAAATATTGAAGATTTCTCATTAATTCCCTTATGCTGCCTTAATTCCACAGTGATATGTAATTCTTGCCTTTTTCTATAAGTGCATTTCTAATAGGCTCTTTATATTTTATTCCTAATGATTCATCGTGTCGGTGAATTCATTGGTGTGAATTGAGCCATTTGATGATGAAAATATATATATATATATTTTTTACTGAAGATCTTGCTGTGTGATTCACAGTTCTGAATAGATTACATAGCACTTGATGAATACAGATTATACCAGAATTATGTGTTTTTCTGACTAAGTGGCACGTGCCCATTGCAGAAAGTAACCAACCTTTGTTAGTTTTCAAGGTAAATAAGTAGGATTTGATCTGTGACTGTGCACAGTGACTGTCATCTGAACTGGTAAACACTGTATTTTTTTTTTTTTTTTTTTTCAGCTGGTAAAATTATGCATTGGAATGATCGATGCTGGAAAAGCTTTTTGCTCTGCCAACAAGCAGTTTATGAATGGCATCCGGGACCTGGCCCAATATTCTAGCAAGGATGAAGTTATTGAAGTAAGCAGCTTCTGCTCAGAACATTATGAAGCTATACCATTGTTACACCATCCCTATAGATAACAGACCACTCAGTCTGCTGCTGCAGAATTTCCTTTCTTTTCTTTCAATTGCTGGCATTGCTCTCAAGCAGATTAATTTAGGGGTTATAAATAATAAAGTCGAGTGGTATAAAGTACACCTGCTATTTGCAAGCAGATAAGTCTGGCTTTAGATACACTTTGAAGCTGAACTTCAGGTAAATGGCTAAAGTATATACAGCATATGTAAACTCTCTTACATGCTAAATTGTTTTATTAATTCACCAAGGTACCTCTTCTTTGCAGCATGGCCAGGTCAATGACCTTGCTTTTCTTCATGTAGTAAAGGAGTGCAGTGTTTCTGACCTGCCCCTAGCTTGCTCCTAGTGTTAAAGCCTTAGTTCAAGAAAAAAAAACAAATGCAGAAAAAAAATGTGCATTTATTTATTTTCTTTCTGGTGATCCTGCAAACCATTGCACCCGTGATCTACTGATCTACTGCAATGTAAGGCTCCTACAGACACTTCTCTCAGCTTTGCTGCCCATACCTTCATAAGGGCAAACAGTTAAAAAGCTGGAGGAAAAGTCAATGAGTTACGAGAACGCTCATCAGTACCCTTGCAGTTCACGGAGAGCTACAAACCATCTGCCACTGTGGAAAGCAGGACTTGTAGTTCATTAACAGATCTCTGTGAATAAATGATGCAGCTATGCTGATTATGTAATAGATATATTACCAGGAAAAATACTGGTCTTTTATGTATACCTGGAGTTTAACATTAGAATGTACTCCGTTAACGTTACAGGTTTGCTTAGTCTCAGGAAGCATGTCATTTCCTCCTTTCTGCCTAATGTTCTTCTGGAGCTCATAAATACTCCAGTACTTCCAGAGGGAGCATATGACACTCCCCTGCTTCCCACCCACAGTGAAGTGCTCGGTGCCTGAGCGGTAGAATTGCCAGGTCCTGGCTCTTTTTCATGGGGACTGGGACCTTGGTACCAGTGCCTAGCCCTCATCTGTTTTTTGATGTAGTTGAAACCTGTGTAGGATTTTTTGGGGTGTTGCAGTGGTAGACTGGGGTGTTGAGAGAACATAGTAAAGTTATGCAGTTATGATGTGCAGAATGTAACAACTAATCAGATCTCAGTTTACTAGACACACACCAGTGAAAGGAGGCATTATTTATTTATATATTTATTTTTGCTATATAGACTACTAAATTTTTTTGCGAAATATATCTACTTGTGTTTATTTTATTAAATTATTAATTTATTTTTTTGCAGAGTAGCCTGACAAAATTTTCTGAAAGTCTGGAAGAAATGATCAAGTTTCATAATGTAAGTGAATATAGTAGGGTCTTGTGCAACTATAAACTGAGGTGTTTTCAGTTTAAAAAAAAAATGATTTCCACTATATTATGATTTCTATAACTACGTTGGAACAATAAAGATCAGTTTATATTTGTGACTAGACTACAGATAGATGTGTTTTCTAAAACAAATCCAGAAGGTTGATTGTGATGTTTTTCTTGATGCAAGACTATTTTTGGTGACTCTGCTTAAAGGTTTTGCTCCCCTGCTTGAAAAGGAGGAAAATATTTTGCTAGAATATAACTGAAGCATGGACATTTGCTACTCCTATAAATCCATTTGGTTTTATGCAATTCATAGGATCATATTGTTATATGAAAATGGTCTAATTCACAAAATATTTCTTATAATAGTGGTATTATGTAACACAGTGCTGTCCTGTACAATATAGAGGGGAAAAAAAGCATATCAGTCTGTGAACACTTAAAGTGGGCCTGAGCCTAAAGCTGAAGATTTGCCATGCTATAAGGAAACATCTAGAATTAATTGTGTTTGAGCAGTACCCTGAAAAACTTACCTTTTTGTCTTGAAAAACAGCCGTGCACTTGCTATGCATACAGCCTCGTAACTTAAAGGCTACACTCACCTTTTGCAAGAAAATCCCAGGGGCGTTCAGGTCGAACTGGGACCTTTTAATTTTACAGGTATAAAAAAGGATGCTAGTGTGGGGATACTACAATCAGTAGGTAGTGGCAAGTGTCCTATTACAGCACACATGTTGCAGGCCAGTCCTGAGACCGTTGAGATGGCAGACAACGGTGTTAGTGTGTGCATGGAACAGCTTGTGGTGATGCAGTTTCTTGTGAACGAAGGCTTAAAACCCACGGATATCTACAGAATACTTCAAGCACAGTACAGTGACTTAGATGCTCAACCGAAGGAAGACATTTGAATGGTGTGAACCTTTCAAAGATGGCCGTACGTCCGTCACTGACGATCCCGGTCATGGTGGTTCCCAGCTCACAGCAGTCATTCCTGTGAACATTCAGTGTGTGGAGCCTGATAATCGATGCATTGCCTGTCATGAAAAAAGAGACAAATCTTTCTTTTGGAACGGTTTAGGTGTACTGACAAATCTTTCTATGCCAAAGCTTTCCAGGCATTAGTTAAATGCTGGGATAAGTGTATAAATGTATCAGGGGAGTATATAGAAAAAAAATGCAGTTTCCGCTCCTTTGACATTTGTTCTTTTATTGTATAAATTCTAAAGTCCCGGACTGACTCGAACGCCCCTCGTAAATGCACCCATATTTGCTTATTTTTTTGCAAATGAGTCTGCAAAGCTTTGCATCTGCAGTCAATGGATTCTGGGTGCCGTGTGCAGGTTCCTACAAATTCTTCTTCCATCTCCTTGTGCACATCAAGGTATAGGCATTTATTTACTGAGCTGCAGGAAGTTTCAGTGGATTTTGAGTGTGATAATCTCTCTACTAGTATTTAATTGAGAACCACAAGTCTGTCTGGTGTGACAGCAGATGGAGCTTGTAGTCAAGTGAATGGTTGATGCAGCTCTGCGAGCAGTGCCTTACACAGCCACACAAAATCTAAAAGTGACAGCTGCTATGGAGAAGACACCCCTCCATGTTAAATCCTAAATATGGGTGTAACAGGATTTAAAAGGTGGAGTTATCCTTTTAATATGTTCAGTGTGAGATCATTTAAGGCACTGCTACCTCTGAATGCTAGTCTGCAAGGATTTGGAGTAAGATCTGTCGATGTCACTGCTGTGTTGCTCACTGTTCTCGCTGATGGGGGGAAAGTTGCAGTGCAAAGAAATTCTCTGATTCTGCATTCACTTAGTCTGTGGTTCTGTGCTTTTTCCACCTCTTATGCTGCTCCTTGGCTATTAACCCACCAGTCATCAGGGGGCAGCTCCGAAATGAAGTAACGCCCTGCTCCTCTCATAGTGGTTTCTACACCGAGAAACCGCGCAGAACAAAGCATGGTAACTCACAACGGAGAAAGATCAGCTGCAGGGAGAGCACAGGAAATACTGAAGTCTAGTCATTTGTCCTCTGATGCCTTTGTTGTCACAGCTTCAGTTCAGGTCCTCTTTAAATGTAATAGATGTGTGTTATTCCATTTGATGCTTTTAAATTGTGTCCATTTTTAAAGCTTGGGGTCTAGGGCAAGATTTTAGTGGCTAACATTATAGTAAGGAATGGTTGTAAACTGCATGGAGACTTTTCTTATTAGCTTCTGTAGGAAATTCAAGCTATGTCTTCAGAACTTAACTTCCACGGTACCAATGTTTTGATCTATGCAAACTGGCAGCTGGCATTTTTCTTGTCTAGGATTACAGCATGTGCTCATCTTTATAGGATCAGGAGTGGATTAGCGTACATAATTATGTGCCAAGGTTTGATTTCTTCAATGAGACTGAGTTCTTAAAAGGCTAAATATACAGTACATAGGACCAAAAAGAAGGGTTTTTGTTAAGTGGGATGAAGGCACCTGCTTTAGACGTGCTGAAATGATGTGCAAATTGCTATACATCTAATATTAGAAACTGATGGTTTCATCTGGTATACTGGAATTTCACTCTCAATCACCATGGACTATTTTTTTTTTATCCTTATGCTGTTCGCATTCGTAAATACACTGCAAACATAATTAAGGGAACACTTTAAAGTCATTTAAACTCCTGGGATCTGGTCAGTTAGGTAGCAGAGTGGGTTGTTAATCAGTTTCAGTTGCTTTTGGTGTTTAATGAAATTAATAGGTGCACTAGATGGGCAACAATGAGACCACCCCCAAAACAGGAATGGTTTTACAGGTGGAGGCCACTGACATTTTTTCCCTAGTCATCTTTTCTGACTGTTTTTCACTGGTATTCCATTTGGCTAGGGTCAGTGTCACTACTGGTAGCATGAGACGATACGTGGACCCTACAGAGGTTGCACGGGCAGTCCAACTCCTCCAGGATGGCACATCAATATGTGCCATTGCCAGAAGGTTTGCTGTGTCTCCCAGTATAGTCTCAAAAGCATGGAGGAGATTCCAGGAGACAGGCAGTTACTCTAGGAGAGCTGGACAGGGCCGTAGAAGGTCCTTAACCCATCAGCAGGACTGGTATCTGCTCCTTTGTGCAAGGAGGAACAGGATGAGCACTGCCAGAGCCCTGCAAAATGACCTCCAGCAGGCCACTGGTGTGAATATCTCTGACCAAACAATCAGAAACAGACTTCATGAGGGTGACCTGAGGGCCCGACATCCTCTAGTGGGCCCTGTATTCACTGCCTGGCACCATAGAGCTCGATTGGTATTTGCCATTGAACACCAGAATTGGCAGGTCTGCCACTGGTGCCCTGTGCTTTTCACAGATGAGAGCAGGTTCACCTTGAGCCCATGTGACAGACGTGAAAAGGTCTGGAGAAGCCGTGGAGAATGTTATGCTGCCTGTAACATCATTCAGCATGACCGTTTTGGTGGTTGGTCAGTGATGGTCTGGGAAGGCATGTCCATGGAGGGATAGACAATGGCACTCTGTCTGCTATTAGGTATCGGGATGAAATCCTTGGACCCATTGTCCGACCCAACGCTGGTGCAGTGGGTCCTGCGCTCCTACTAGTGCACGACAATGCCCAGCCTCATGTGGCGAAAGTATGCAGGCAGTTCCTGGAGGATGAAGGAATTGATACCATTGAATGGCCCTTATGCTCGCCTGACCTAAATCCAATAGAACACCTCTGGAATATCATGTTTCGGTCCATCTGACGCCACCTCAGACTGTCCAGGAGCTCATTGCATTGATGCCCTACTCCAGATCTGGGAGGACACCATCCGTTGTCTCATTAGGAGCTTGCCCTGACGTTGTCGAGCATGCATACAAGCACGTGGGATCCACAACAAATTACTGAGTACCATTTTGAGTTGATGCACTGAAATTTTCGCAAAATGGAATAGCCTGCCACATCATTTTTTCACTTTCATTTTTTGGCAGTGTCTTTGAATTCAGTCCTCCTGTAGGTTGATAATTTTCATTTCCATCAAATGGTGGGCATCCTTACGTTCCTAACACATTACCCAGTCAATATCATAATAGATATCCAGCATGATATTTTTCCCCATTGAGACCTGATGTGTTTTCAAAGTGTTCCTTTTAATTTTTTTGAACAGTGTAGATAGATAGTAAAGTATATCATATTTACTAGTTTTTAGCTACATTTCTTCAGTTATTTACTGGTTTCCAGGCCTAGGCAAATTGTCATACATTCCAGGAGTTTTAAAGAGGGGGGAGGTGTTTTCCCAGCTAAGTACACCCTCCTGTCTGCATGCTTGAGCTAAGGGCAGATTGATTCAAAATTCTACACGAATCATCTGCCCTTATTCAAGATGGCCATGGCCAGAACTGCTACGGAGTGTTTTTCAAATTGATTTCTCAGCAAAATAAAGCATGGAGACATGGATGAATGGGTGAGTTTGCTTTGAATATAAAACTGAATTAAATTGGTATTAATTAGTGGTGCACAGATGCTGTGTAGTTCCACTTCAATTTAATGTTTTAATCACACTTAAGAATGGGAAATATTGTGGATTTATGCCTACTTTTGTTTGTAAAGCAATGTACAGTGTGCAGCACACTATGGCAAACAAATCTGAATATAACCTTAAGTGCAATACAAATTTTATATAGTCCTACTATTCCGTGCAAGCACTTTGAGTGCCTACATTTTTGCTACCTTATTTGTTTTGTGTGAGGCAGCAAGGCAACTGGCTTCCTCTGCCTATATATACTATTTCTTATGTGTAGTGTTACCTGACAGATGTTCTAACCTCTCACTCAAAACTGTAAAAAAAAGTTTTCTTTGCAGTTGGTCTTTATCGGTTGTCAGCCTATACTTTAAAGTGTATCCTGAAGCCATTGCAATGATTAACAGGAGTATTGTTTTCTGGCTTATTTTGACATTTGGCTTGATAATATATGAGGAAAAGGAAATCTTCAGTGGAATTTACAAAACGGAAACTGATAATATTTTACTGCTATTATGATTTTGCTGGCTACATGTTTTCTCTGTGTATGGGAGACACGTGTATGATTAATCCTGTAATAGTCAAAAACGCATAGCGCAAATTAAGATATCTTCTCTCGGAAAGTCTTTCCTTCAAGGAAAAAACAAATTAATTTACGGTTTTCCACAGAAAAACACAAATACACAAGTCTTTTTTGGATAAACAAAATGAAAAAAAAAAAAAAAAATCCTATGCAGGAGGTTAAAGTATGTATGTTAGCGGGTACATGTCTTACCAATAGTTATTTTTCTGTTTATGATTAGAGTATGAAAATCTTTAGTGGGGTGTGAAACAGATTTGAGAACCATTTCCTTTTCCTTTTTGTTCTAACAAAGTTATATTATTTCAGATCCTGTTTGACCAAGCCCAAAGATCAATCAAGTCACAGCTCCAGTCATTTGTGAAAGAGTAAGTTGACATTGGTTAGCCCTTTTGTGATCAATGTATTACCTTCACATTTTTTCTTTTTTCCAGTTAGCTACTGTGCAGTGCGTAAAAGCACTAATAAAACTAACACTTGACTTGATAATTTCTGACATCGTACTGCTACTTATCTTTCAACATCTACTTCTGTACTCTTGGAATACATAGGGCCCCAGTTAAAAGTGGTTATAGGGCCAAAAAAGATCTAAAAATACATCCACGTTTTAGAAGCACAGTGATGTGATTTTACAAAATGTGCATTATGTCCCATTTACTTTTGGATTCCATCTCAAAGGCAGCGCCATTTATAAGTGGGGAAAAAAAAACTGAGCAGAGGGAAGGCAGGTCCTGTAACTGCACTCTCCCTGCTTCAGTATGCAGAGAACACCCTATGCTCCACGCTACCCTCTTGATTTTGAATAAATGGCTTGGAAAACACAGCGCTGTATGCTGCAAACCAGCAAATCGTATTGTCTGCTCTGCACTATAAATGAACCCCATAGTATTAGGAAATTTATAATGCAGTGCTGTTTGAGTTCAGTTCAATGATCTGCAAAAACATAAAGCATTGTAGCAGGTTACTCATCATGTGGTTACGACTAAGGCCCAGAGTAGGGCTGAAACCCTTCAACCTTGCTGTGTAATAGATTCCTCTTGTGTGTTGGAATACTAATAAAGCCTTTTGGATTTTATTCTTTGTTGTACTGAGCTACCGGACTTATACTTTTCACGCTATTGGATGGTATGTGCAACGTCTGTCCTGCCACAGGCAACCACTTCTTCCTATTATTTGGACCCTAAATTGGGCTGTAGCATCTATTTCACTCTTCTTATGTATTATCCTATTGCACATGAGTTTACTTTGGCTTTTATTATGACAAGTCTAGAAATGGAGAGCTGTAGTTGAGAGCCTGTTATATGCAATATAGTCTCTTTATAATTTTTAAATATGATAGCTGTATACATGAAAGTTCTAAACCTTATCTCTATTTTGATGATGACTTTCTGCTTTGGTTGTAACCGCTGTTCTGTTTTTCTGTTCCAGAGATCTCAGAAAATTCAAAGATGCTAAAAAACAATTTGATAAAGTCAGTGAAGAAAAAGAAAATGCCCTGGCAAAAAATGCTCAGGTGCCACGAACCAAACAACATGAGGTAGAAGAGGCTACTAACATTCTTACTGCAACACGGAAATGCTTTAGGCACATTGCATTAGACTACGTTTTACAGGTAACTGAAACACTTGGTACTTCCTGAGCTCATCCTTGACCTCCGTTTCACAATATTGTACATTTCTCAAGTAGTTTATACTGTACTTAAATTCCCTCGTTTAACACTTAAGAGGGGTTTTCGGATTCCTTATTCCAAATGAATGAATACAAGCACATCCACACTAGTTCCTTGTACAATTAATCCTAATGATGAAAGCCGTGCTATGGCCTAATCTTTTTGAGCAGCAACACATCTGTAAATGGTAACCGAATACAATAAACAATTCCTTTACACCAACACCAAAACACTTTCTTTTGTCCCTAAGCCGCATCCTCCAGGCTCCTGAGTGCTGCGCATATGCGCAATACATTCTAGGAGGAGAATCGTTAAGGGAGTAAGCGGTAGATAAGGATTTTGGTGTTTGTGTAGAACATAGATCATATTCCAATGCCAAGCTGCAGTTTCTAAAGGAAGCAAAATACTTTCTAGTATTAAAAGAGATATAGACTAGAGAGAGAGGGACATAATTTTGCCCCAGTACAAATTATTACTAAGACCTCTGCAATATGCAGTACAGGTCTGGGTACCTGTTATTGGGGAGCTTGAGAGTGCAGATAAGAACTGTTAAACTGATAAGAAGCATGGAGGAGCTTGGCTATATGGAAATATTAGCTGATCTAAATTTATGCTCTCTTGAGAAAAGGTGATTAAAGGATAAGTTCACATTTAACCGCTTGCCCTCCAGAGGATTTACCCCTCTTCCTGAACAGGCCATTTTTTGCAATACAGTGCTGTGTTACTTTAACTGACAATTGCGTGGTCATGCAACGCTGCAGCCAAATTAAATTTATGTCCTCCCCCCCACACACACATAAACATAGAGCTTTCTTTTGGTGGTGTTTGATGTGCGGTTTTTATTCTTTGTGTTAATTAACAAAAAAAAAAATCAACAATTTTGAGAAAAAAAACTAGATTTTATTACTTTTTGCTATTAAACATGTCCAGTAAAAAAAAAATAAAATGTCATAAATTTAGGCAAAGATGTATTCTGCTACATGTCTTTGCTAAAAAAAAAATCCCAATACGTGTAAATTGGTTTACATGAAAGTTATAGCGTTTACAAATGGCTGTATATATATACTGGAATTTTTTTTCTTGCTAGTATTTTTTCAAATGCCGCCCCAAATGGCGGCGATCAGCGACTGTGAGGGTCATTCTGAAACTGACTTGGTGTCACTGACATCCCCAGTGACACCAATACAGTGATCAGTGCTAATGGCACTGGGCAGGAAGGGGTTAACGTGGGGCGATCAAAGGGTTAACTGTGGGCTGTGTGTGCATTCAACTGTAAGCACACTGCTTTGTACGGCTCTGCCATTCTTCGGTCATCCACCACAGTTGTTTTCCGTGGTCTTCCGGGTCTTTTGGTGTTGCTGAGCTCACCGATGCGTTCCTTCTTTTTAAGAATGTTCCAAACAGTTGTTTTGGCCACGCCTAATGTTTTTGCTATCTCTCTGATGGGTTTGTTTTGTTTTTTTTCAGCCTAATGATGGCTTGCTTCACTGATAGTGACAGCTCTTTGGATCTCATCTTGAGAGTTGACAGCAACAGATTCCAAATGCAAATAGCACACTTGAAATGAACTCTGGACCTTTTATCTGCTCATTGTAATTGGGATAATGAGGGAATACCACACACCTGGCCATGGAACAGCTGAGAAGCCAATTGTCCCATTACTTTTGGTCCCTTAACAAGTGGGAGGCACATATGCAAACTGTTGTAATTCCTACACCATTCACCTGATTTGGATGTAAATACCCTCAAATTAAAGCTGACAGTATGCAGTTAAAGCACATCTTGTTCATTTCATTTCGAATCCATTGTGGTGGTGTATAGAGCCAAAAATGTTAGAATTGTGTCGATGTCCCAATATTTATGGACCTGACTGTACGTTTGGCAATGTAGCGTGTATGTTCCACCCTCCCCCTGCTGTCTGTATTTTAGATGTACATGCTGCAGAATGCTATTTAGTTGCTTTTTAATTGGTAATGCAAATTCCATTGTTAACATTAGCTTGACCTCCACAGAGTTCTAATTAGGCATGGCCTTTGCACTGGAAACTGTGAAAGCTAATATATTATACATGCTGAGCAGTGGTTTACATGCTATAAATGGTATACTAGTGGTCAGCTTAATGGACCATTTTTTTCTCTTACAGATAAATGTACTACAGTCCAAAAGGAGGTCTGAGATTTTAAAATCTGTAAGTATTAAATGTATTTGTTTATCAGCCTGAAATATATTAAGAGATCTATAATCCTTTTAAGTCACTGATGACGGATTAAAGTTCCCATGTGGAGTTTTTGAATCACAACCTTTTATTGAGCATTTGCAAGCATACACGTTCCACAAATTTTTAAAACCTAGCATCCAGTACATTAAGTCATATAAAAGTAAACAAATACAATTACAATGTCCAGCAATATATAGCCTGAGGCAAATCCAAGTCCTTCAGTGTGAAGTCCGATTTGCCCAACCAGTGGGCCAAAAGAGCAGATATGAAAATGGTCCCACAGCGTTTTAACAGCTACATATTGTACTTTGACTGGGAATATAAAAACAATGTTGCAAATGACAACCTACCCCAATATCCTATTAATGACTAGGTCAGCCAGAGCCAAACTAGAAATGTCAAGCCAACCTCCCCAAACACATTTAGCAAAGCATCCTGTGTATTGATAGATAACCCGGTCATATCATAAAGTGGTACCCATATGCATTAACCATTCCTTAACCACTTCAAGTCCGGACACTTTCACCCCCTTCCTGTCTAGGCCAATTTTCAGCTTTCAGTGCTGTCACACTTTGAATGACAATTGCGCGGTCATGTAACACTGTACCCGAATGAATTTTTTAGCGTTTTTTTGAGACAGATAAAACTTTATTTTGGTGGTATTTATTCACCACTGGGATTTTTATTTTTTTTGCTATATAAATGAAAAATTCCAAAACTTTTTTAAAAAAGTGTTTTTCTTATACAATTTTGCAATTAAATAATCTTTGTTCATAAATTGTGGCCAAAATGCATTCATCTATCTTTTTAGTAAAAGAAAAAAAATAACCCAAATTTAGTTTATTACCAAAAATTATAATTTAAAAAAAATTTTTTTACATTTTTTTTTTATTTTTTTTAATTTTTATTTATTTTTTTCAGGTACTTACAGTCAGGTCCATAAATATTGGGACATGGACACAATTCTAACATTTTTGGCTCTATACACCACCACAATGGATTTGAAATTAAACAAACAAGATGCGCTTTAACTGCAGACTGTCGGCTTTAATTTGAGGGTATTTACATCCAAATCAGGTGAACGGTGTAGGAATTACAACAGTTTGCATATGTGCCTTCCACTAGTTAAGGGACCAAAAGTAATGGGACAGAATAATAATCATAAATCAAACTTTCACTTTTTAAATACTTGGTTGAAAATCCTTTGCAGTCAATTACAGCCTGAAGTCTGGAACGCATAGACATCACCAGACGCTGGGTTTCATCCCTGGTGATGCTCTTCCAGGCCTCTACTGCAACTGTCTTCAGTTCCTGCTTGTTCTTGGGACATTTTCCCTTCAGTTTTGTCTTCAGCAAGTGAAATGCATTCTCAATTGGATTCAGGTCAGGTGATTGACTTGGCCATTGCATAACATTCGACTTCTTTCCCTTAAAAAACTCTTTGGTTGCTTTTGCAGTATGCTTTGGGTCATTGTCCATCTGCACTGTGAAGCGGCATCCAATGAGTTGTGAAGCATTTGGCTGAATATGAACAGATAATATTCCCGAAACACTTCACAATTCATCCGGCTGCTTTTGTCAGCAGTCACATCATCAATAAATACAAGAGAACCAGTTCCATTGGCAGCCATACATGCCCACGCCATGACACTACCACCACCATGCTTCACTGATGAGGTGGTATGCTTAGGATCATGAGCAGTTCCTTTCCTTCTCCATACTCTTCTCTTTCCATCACTCTGGTACAAGTTGATCTTGGTCTCATCTGTCCATAGGATGTTGTTCCAGAACTGTGAAGGCTTTTTTAGATGTTGTTTGGCAAACTCTAATCTGGCCTTCCTGTTTTTGAGGCTCACCAATGGTTTACATCTTGTGGTGAACCCTCTGTATTCACTCTGGTGAAGTCTTCTCTTGATTGGTGACTTTGACACACATACACCTACCTCCTGGAGAGTGTTCTTGATCTGGCCAACTGTTGTGAGGGTGTTTTCTTCACCAGGGAGAGAATTCTTCGGTCATCCACCACAGTTGTTTTCCGTGGTCTTCCGGGTCTTTTGGTGTTGCTGAGCTCACCGGTGCGTTCCTTCTTTTTAAGAATGTTCCAAACAGTTGTTTTGGCCTCACCTAATGTTTTTGCTATCTGTCTGATGGGTTTGTTTTGTTTTTTCAGCCTAATGATGGCTTCCTTCACTGATAGTGACAGCTCTTTTGATCTCATCTTGAGAGTTGACAGCAACAGATTCCAAATGCAAATAGCACACTTGAAATGAATAACATACACCTGGCCATGGAACAGCTGAGAAGCCAATTGTCCCATTACTTTTGGTCCCTTAACAAGTGGGAGGCACATATGCAAACTGTTGTAATTCCTACACCGTTCACCTGATTTGGATGTAAATACCCTCAAATTAAAGCTGACAGTCTGCAGTTAAAGCACATCTTGTTAGTTTAATTTCAAATCCATTGTGGTGGTGTATAGAGCCAAAAATGTTAGAATTGTGTCGATGTCCCAATATTTATGGACCTGACTGTATATAGCGCTTTAACATATATATTGTACATTCACATCAGTCCCTAACCCTCAAGGAGCGTACAATCTAAGGTTCCTAACTTACATTCATACATACACATACTAGGGCCAATTTAGACAGGAGCCAATTAACCTATGAGCATGTCTTTGGAGTGTGGGAGGAAACTGCAGTATCCGGAGAAACCCACGCACGCACAGGGAGAACATGTAAACTCCAGGCAGGTGGTGTTGTGGTTGGGATTTGAACCAATGACCCTAGTACTGCCAGGCGGAAGTGCTAACCATTTAGCCATTGTGCTGCCCATATATATTGTTTTTTGTTTTAACATACGGTCACCCTAGCAGTACAGTGTCACCATAGTGATACTGTACTACTTGTGGGGGGTGATGAAGATTTTCTTTTTTTACATTGATGGCTTTTTTTTTTTTTTTTTTTTAAGTGACAGCAGGTGTGGGGAGAAGAACCCCCGCCCACTGTCACACTGAGGGGGGATTGGTGAGGCGGAAGGCAGGAGCTGGAACATGTTACATGTTCCTCCCTAAAAGCAGGTGGAACATGTAACATGTTCCAAAAGGTGAACTTAGCCTTTAAGGCTTGGTACACACTACTGCTATGCAATAGTGCAGCAATTTTCAGTGCGATTTATGTAGTGCGAGTTTGATGTGACTTGGCTGTGTTTTGGCATATTCTATGGAGCCAAGTCACATTGCAAATCACACCAAAAGTAGCACAGGAACCTTTTCCAAAATCGCACTATGCTAAGTCACATTGATTTGAACGGGCACTATTGAATGTAATGTGGTTTCCTTTATCCTTCATGCGATTCTGTGCCAATAAAGTATCGAAAGTCACACTAGTGTGAGTCAGCACTAAAGCAAACATGTAAAAGAAATAAAATTGTATGTTTAAATAAAACGTGTTGCTATATAACCCCTTATTAACCTTAAGTTTATCTTAATCATCACAAATTGACCTGTTCTACCCCTTCTCACTCTATTTTTTCCATTTTCCCAACATTTGATTTTTAAACTTTTAAAAAAATTTGTTACATAAAAAAGGAAAAAAAACACAAGCCTTCATTTACAAATAACTTTGTAATCCTTTGAACTATAATCTTAATTTTAGAAGAGCAAAAAGGCATGCACAGGCTTATACTTACAAAACTAGGATAACTGACATCAGCGAGCTACAGCTAAAGAATGCAAAAATCATTGCTCAAAAGAGTGGCATATAATAATCGATATCAGACCCCGACCTAGTGAATGTATGAGATCAGAAAAGTGAATGAATGAAGACGCCCTGCCTCATTATCTTTTATGGAGCTAATATACTGATGTCAAGAGTAAAACTATAAACCATAAATGCTCTCTCAGGTGGATGTATTGGTTAAATGGATGATGACGGGGTGGGGGATGTGCCCAGAGAGAGGGTCAGAAACTGGGTGTTTGCGTTTGATATATATATAATATACACGCGCGCACACACTATATTGCCAAAAGTATTGGGACACCCCTCCAAATCATTGGATTCAGAGGTTCCAATCACCTCCATGGCCACAGGTGTATAGGAAAATCAAGCAGCCATTGGCTCCAGCTGCTGTCAGTCACAGCCAGTGAGCCAATTGTGAGAAAGAGGGGCGGGGCCGAGCCACAGCTCTTTGTTTGAATGGTCATGCAGAGCAGCAGCTCGGGAGCAAGCGTGCTTGGGTACAATCTGCATGCTTTAGGGATACTCAGCAGGAGGGAGAGGCCAGGAGTGACGACAGGGGACCCGAGAAATGGAGGATTGGGAAAACCATTGTACAGAGCAGATAAGTATAAACATTTTTTTTTTTTTATTACCTTTAATATCACTTTAACCTTTTCACTTCAGCCCAGGTCTGTACGCCATACGGACTGGACATTGGGGGGTTTTATACACAAACAAGTGGCTGCAGCCGATTCCTGCCTCTCAGGTGGAAGCAGTCAAGTGGTTCCACAGCCCCCCGATTCTAGTGCCCTTTGTGTCCCCTATGTGATGGAAACAACATAGCTACACCTAAGCACATAACATCCCCCTCAGTATATGCACATACAAATGTAAACGCACACGTCAGGGCGCCTACGCGTGAAAATGTTGATTGCGATACACATGTTACATATCACCATGCACGCCGGAGTGAGAGCAATAATTCTAGCACCAGAACTCCTCCATAATGCTAAACTGATGATCTGTAGGGGCTTTTGAAGCTTGGTCTATATAAAATATGGAGTACCGAAATTTGACGCAATTTCATAGGCGCACACAAATTTAAGGTATGGTGGGCATCTATTTACTCGGCACAACCTCGTCTTTTATATTTTACCAACAAATTTGGGTAACTTACTGCATTTGCCCTAAAATTCACTTTAGTGTGATTTTTACTGAAATGTTGCGTTTCTTAGGCCTTTGCAATAATATCGTGTGACATAAGAAAATCTGAACTACCACTATTTTATTCTCTAGGGTGTCTGCTTTCAGAAAATATAGAATGCTTTGGGGGTTTTGTGTAATCTTCAGGCCTAAAATGATTTTTAAACGTGTGCAAAAAAATGCAAAAACTGCTAAGGCAGTGAAAGGGTTATACCATGCAAATTCATTTCAGTTCATAGCAGTTCCTCTTGTGCACTGAAATTTTGATGTACTTCTCCCTTGTTTAAGTACTAAAACACTGAATTTTTTAAATTTGCAAAGTAACCTGTTCATAGTAATGGTAATTGCAGATAAAAACTGTTTTGTTTATGCTCCGGTCACAGTGCATAACCAACATGTCTCTGTGAGTCTACAGTTGCAAGAAAAAGTATGTGAACCCCTTGGGATTATGTGGAGTTTTGCATGAGTTGGGCATAAAATGTGCTCTGAACTTCATCTAAGTCACAACAATAGAAGAACACAGTCTGCTGAACATAATACTACACAAACATTAGATGTTGCCATGGTTTAATTGCACATAACATGTAAACATTCACAGTGCAGGGAGGAAAAAGTATGTGAACCTTTGGACTTAATAACTGGTTGACCCTCCTTTGGCAGCAATAACCTCAACCAAACGTTTCCTGTAGTTGCAGATCAGACCTGCACAACGATCTGGAGTAATTTTGGACCACTCCTCTTCACAAAACTGTTTCAGTGTAGCAATATTCTTGGGATGTCTGGTGTGAATCGCTCTCTTAAGGTCATGCCACAGCATTTCAATCGGGTTGAGGTCAGGACTCTGACTGGGCCACTCCAGAAGGCGTATTCTGTGCTGTTGCAGCCATTGTTTTGTTGAATTACTTGTATGCTTTGGGTCATTGTCCTGTTGCATCACCCATCCTCTGCGGAGCTTCAGTTGGCGGACAGATGGTTGTACGTTTTCCTGCAAAATGTCTTGATAAACTCTGGAATTCATTTTCCCATCAACGACAACAATCCGTCCAGGCCAGCAAAGCAGCCCCAAACCATGATGCTCCCTCTGCCATGTTTTACAGTGGGGATGAGGTTTTGATTGTGTGCTGTGCCTTTTTTTTCTCCACACATAGTGTTGTGTGTTCTTCCCAAACAACTCAATCTTGGGTTCATCTGTCCACAGTATATTTTGCCAGTAGTGCTGTGGAACATCCAGGTGCTCTTTTGCAAACTTCAAACGTGCTGCAATATTCTTTTTGGACAGCAATGGCTTCCTCCGTGGTGTCCTCCCATGTACTCCATTCTTGTTTAATGTTTTCCTTGTTGTAGATGTGTCAACAAAAATGTTAGCATGTGCCAGAGATTTCTGTAGGTCTTTAGCTGACACTCTGGGATTCTTCTTTACCTCATGCAGCATTCTGCGCTGTGCTCTTGCAGTCATTTTTACAGGACGACCACGCCTAGGGAGAGTAGCAACAGTGCTAAACTTTCTCCATTTGTAGACAGTCTGTCTTACCGTGGACACATGAACATCAAGGCTTTTGGAGATACTTTTGTAACCCTTTCCAGCTTCATGCAAGTCAACAATTCTTGATCGTAGGTCTTCTGAGAGCTCTTTTCTGCGAGGCATGGTTCACATCAGACAGTGCTTCTTGAAACCAGTAAACCCAAAACAGGTGTGTGTTTTTTAAGGGCAGGACAGCTGTCAGCAACACATCCAATATCATCACACTGATTGGAGTCGAGGTTGGCTCACTCCTGGCTCCAATTAGCTCTGGGAGAAGTCATTAAGCTAGGGCCTCACATACTTTTTCCTCCCTGCACTGTGAATGTTTACATGTTATGAGCAATTAAACCATGGCAACATCTAATGTTTGTGTAGTATTATGTTCAGCAGACTGTGTTTTTCTATTGTTGTGACTTAGATGACGTTCAGAGCACATTTTATGCCCAATTCATGCAAAACGCCACGTAATCCCAAGGGGTTCACACACACTTTTTCTTGCAACTGTATGCAGAATGTACCATTTGATATGCACAGTGCTGCCAATGAAGACAAATTACAAGTTGGAGTCAACTTACAGGTTAATGGAATGGAAAGGTTCTCTGTGAATACTTCCAGAACATGACCCATAATGTCTGCATATTTTTTTTTTATTATTTTTTTTTTTTAGAAAAGTTTAAAAGGAAAGGGGGGAAAAAAGGGCATTTAAATCTAAAAGGTTAATGGTGAAATGACTTGCCTCTTTCTGTCATTCCTTAGATTGATTTCTGCACTCATTAATACACTAGGGAAAGGTAACGATCCTGCAGTATCCCCACATGCACTGTGCACTTTTTCTGTATTTGGAGCAGCGTATTGATCTCTGGACATTCTTCTTGTCTGCAGCACAGTTCCAAGCTCTGTAGCTCTTGTGTATGAGCTGCTGCTGCTGCAGGACTCTGACAAGCTGCTTTAGTTTTTTCCCCCTCTCGCAGTACAGAGCTCTTTAACATGTTAACAGCTAATAAAACATAGGCTTTTTCTGGAAAAAAGCTGACGACAGGGAAATGTTGTAGGTTTTTTTAAATGTGTTTGTAAGACCAGGAGAATGGGTTTGTACCGGTTTTGCTGAGTCACTGAATGCATGGATTTTAAATGTATTCCCACATATTTTTTTTCTCTAAAGAGACCTGTTCTGTTACCCACAGGGATATGTTAATGTGTGCATGGTCTTCTGCAATTACTGCATGTTTATAATTATTTGTGCAAGGAAATTCTTGCTTAATAGTTTATAGTTTTTTGGGTTTCTTTTAATTGTTTTTGCTTGTTAACAGATGCTGTCCTTTATGTATGCCCATCTGACTTTCTTCCACCAAGGTTATGACCTTTTCAGTGAACTTGAACCGTATATGAAGGATTTAGGCGCACAGGTAATTATTTTGCATATCTATACACTACTGTTCCTAGCGCTTGTTGGCAGATATGACTATTTACCTTTTTTTATTTATTTATTTATTTTTTTCCTGGGTATATGTTAGAGATACAGCTGTTTTACATTTGCATACTACAGAAGAGGGGGCAGGGCTTCATGCCACCCCAACATTCATTGCATTATTGTAATTTATTTCAGGTACTTATATAGCGACGTCAATTTCTGCAGCGCTTTACATACATATTGTACATTCACATCAGTCCCTAACCCTCAAGGAGCGTACAAACTAAAGACCCTAACTTATATTCATACATACACATACTAGGGCCAATTTAGACAGGAGGCAATTAACCTACCAGCATGTCTTTGGAGTGTGGGAGGAAACTGGAGTACCCGGAGGAAACCCATGCAGGCACAGGGAGAACATGCAAACTCCAGGCAGGTGGTGCCGTGGTTGTATTTGAACCAACGACCCTAGTACTGCCAGGCGGAAGTGCTAACCATTTAGCCACTGTGCTGCCCCAGAATACTGCTTGATTTAGTTTGTTGGGGTTGTGCGGTCCATTTTAGATTAATTAAAGCCCTGGGGCTACAAAATGATTAGCCTTTATGTTGTAGAGATAGGAGTGAAAACAGTAATTCTAGGGCCACTCTATACTCTAAACTGATATTGAAGTGTTGCCTATGGCCAGTTTTGGGTACTATAGTTTATTGCGATTTCATGAGTGTGCACCATTTTAAGGCTTGACATTTTTGGTATCCATTACCTCAATGCAACCCCATTGAGGTATAGGTATAATATCGTTCGTTTGCACAAAAATTATTTTGTGTCCCCCCCCCGAAAATCGGTTTCCTAAATAGCTACACAAATGTCATGCAACATAAAAAATTGCACCTGCAAAAAAACAAAACATAATGTGTGAGTGAAATTTTAAAAATGCACTGACTCTCAAGTGGTTATTCTCCTGCATAATTTTGATTATGAAATTATACTCTATTTCTCTGAATTAATTTACCATGGTTAGATGACTAGAAAAGTATTATATAGGTTAGATACAAAATGACATGTGCTATCTGTAAATGACCCATGTTAATATTTTTGCTTGGTCCATGTTTGTTCTTGTATATGCTGTTAGAATGTGAGTGTGTGTCTATCTGGTTCAGGAGTCTTCAAACCTTTTGAAACAAAGGTCCAGTTTACTGCCCTTCAAACTTTAGTGGGGCTGGACTGTGGCCAGTGTGGCATAAATAATGGTATAGGCTTGGTGGTCAGTGGGAGTAAAAAAAAATACATAATTGGTTTTGGTGGGAGCAATAGTGCCCCATCATTGGTGTCAGCAGGAGAACTGGTTCCCCATCTCTGGTGTCAGTGGGAGGAATAGTCAGAGGAAGGCATGTTGCCTCATCAGTGAAAGAAACCGTGCCCCAAGAGCCAGAGAAAGGCAAGCAAAGGGCCACAGTTTGGAGATCCCTGATCTAATTATCTAGATGTAAAGCTAAAGTTAGAAATTGATCAGTCTGCATTTTTTCGATCGCAAAGAGGTTTGTACTCTATTTTCCCCATTACACATGTATGTTTGAGGTGGGGGGGTTTGAAGCATTACAATTTAAAACTGGCCATACATCGATCAAAATTCAGTCAGTTCAACAGGAAAAGGCCATATTTCGACCCATGTATGACCACTGTGGTTGAACAGAAGATGATCTAGAGGCAATAGGCCGAAGTGCTGTTAGGTGCATTCTGACGGCGGGGGAAGTCTCCCCGCTGTCAGAATACAAAGACACAGCACAGAGGATTCCTCCATCCACCTCAAATGTGTGGGTGGGGGAGTTGGGTTAGTTTTTTTTTTTTTTGGTTTTTGTTTGGTTTTTTTTAACGTACTGGTTGCACACAAAAAAGATGACTCGTTATGGCCAGCCCAAGTGACACAAGGGAAACATACAATGCCTTGAAAAAGTATTTCTACCCCTTTAAATTTTCCACATTGTCATGTTACAACCAAAAACGTTAATGTATTTTATGTGATAGACCAAAACAAAGTGGCACGTAATTGTGAAGTGGAAGGAAAATGATAAATGGTTTCCAAAATGTTTTACAAATATGTGAAAAGTGTGGCGTGCATTTGTATTCAGCCCCCCTGAGTCAGTACTTTGTAGAACCACCTTTCACTGCAATTCCAGCTGCAAGTCTTTTTGGGGATGTCTCTACCAGCTCTGCACATCTAGAGAATGACATTGTTGCCCATTCTTTGTTGCAAAATGGCTCAAGCTCTATCAAATTGGATGGAGAGCGTCTGCGAACAGCAATTTTCAAGTCTTGCCACGGATTCTCAATTGGATTTAGGTCTGGACTTTGACTGGGCTATTCTAACGCATGAATATGCTTTGATCTAAACCATTCCATTGTAGCTCTGGCTGTATGTTTAGGGTTGTTGTCCTGCTGGAAGATGAACCTCCGCCCCAGTCTCCGGTCTTTTGCAGACTCCAACAGGTTTTCTTCTAAGATTGCCCTGTATTTTGCTCCATCCATCTTCCCATCAACTCTGACCAGTTTTTCCTGTCCCTGCTAAATAAAAGCATCTGCACAAAATTATGCTGCCACCACGTTTCACAGTGGGGATGGTGTGTTCAGGGGGATGTGCAGTGTTAGTTTCACATAGCGTTTTGCTTTTTGGCCAAAAAACTCAATTTTGGTCACATTTGACCAAAGCACCTTTGTTCCACATGTTTGCTGTGTCCCCCACATGGCTTCTCGCAAATTGCAAACGGGACTTCTTATGGCTTTCTTCTTGCCACTCTTCCATAAAGGCCAGATTTGTGGAGTGCATGACTAATAGTTGTCCTGTGGACAGATTCTCCCACCTGAGCTGTGGATCTCTGTAGCTCCTCCAGAGTTACTATGGGACTCTTTGCGGCTTCTCTGATTAATGCTCTCCTTGCGCGGCCTGTCAGTTTAGGTGGACGGCCGTGTCTTAGTAGGTTTGCAGTTGATTGAACAGTGCTCCGTGAGATGTTCAAAGCTTGGGATATTTTTTTATAACCTATCTCTGCTTTAAACTTTTCAACGACTTTATCCCTGACCTGTCTGGTGAGTTCCTTGGCCTTCATGATGCTGTTTGCTCACTAATGTTCTCTAGCAAACCTCTGAGGGCTTCACAGAACAGCTGTATTTATACTAAGAATAAATTACACACAGGTGGACTCTAAAATCTAGTGGAACTAATTGCCTTCAGAAGTCATCTAATTAGTAAATAGTTAGGGGTATCAGAGTAAAGGGGGCTGAATACAAATGCACACCACACTTTTCAGATATTGATTTGTAAAGAATTGTGAAAACCATTTATCATTTTCCTTCCACTTCACAATTATGTGCCACTTTGTGTTGGTCTATCACATAAAATCCCAGTAAAATACATTTACATTTTTGGTTGTAACAAGACAAAATGTGGAAAATATCAAGGGGTATGAATACTTTTTCAAGGCAGTGTAAAACGTCATTAAGTGTGTCTCTGCAGGTAATGTAACCCATTACCTGCTGACTTGGCTAAATATGTAATGTGTCCTCAGGTTAACATTATTATATGAAAATTCTTTACCTCTTTCTTGTGAACTCATATTTGCAAGTATGTGTCATTCCATTCAACTAGCAGTGTGTGTGTGTGTGTGTGTGTGTGTGTGTGTGTGTGTGTGTGTGTGTGTGTGTGTGTATGTGTGTATGTATGTGTGTGTATATATATATATATGTGTGTGTGTGTGTGTATATATATATATATATATATATATATATATATATATATATATATATATATATATATATATATATATATATATATATATATATACCAAAGAAAACTGCTTATTATAGAATAAACCAAATGAACAGATTTCAACCAGCTGTTTTTTTTTTTTTTCCTACTTTTTCAGTTGAATTGTCTTGTCATGGATGCTGCAAAGGAAAAGAGAGATATGGAGCTTAAACACTCAACAATTCAGCAGAAGGTTTGTGTGCACAAAAATTCAGTGCAGAGGCTCAGTACACACTGAAGACCTGCACTGAGCATTAGTATGTAGAGTTGATTGTCTCCTGCTTGGCTTGTATTTCCAATCAAGGTCATGGCTGCAGTTGAAACATCATTCTTTGAATTATTTATTTGCTGCCAGTGAACAATACTCAGCGTTGAATACTAAGATGTCCACTATTTTTACGTGGCTTTTTGCAGTTATTTGCTTTCATAAAAAAAAAAGTAAAATGACATATCATTTTTGAATTTTGACTGTTTTGGTTTTCTTAATAAAAAGCCTGCTTTTGGAGCTGTAAATATTGTTAAGTGTATACTCATTATGTGCTTTGCAGTAAACATTTTGCTAAACATCTGCCTGAAAGGCATTGAGAGGTTTTCACCGCTAGCAGAGGATGACTGGGAAGCTGTTTTGGTTTCTGGTTCTGGCTGTACATGGAAAGACGTGGTCACACAATACTTGCTGTTTTTAGAATAACCATTTTTCTGAATAAAAGCTACAGCAGATTTAACAAGTGAACATGGGAGTATTCCTAGTTACAAAAGGTTGACCAGTTTGCTATTGTACTTTGCTTAATCAGCAAAGATAAGCCAATATTGTTGTGGTCTGTTTATAGCTTCAAAGCTTAGAGTTCTGCTAGTATGAATGCAACAGTGCATGTTGATATTAATTCTGAAAAGTAATCCTGCAAGGATATAGCTACTTAAAAAAAACAACCAGACTCATTTATGACCAGCCATATGTATGAAGAGTGTCCCCAGCAGTCATCACTTGATGAATCCACCACAAATTATCTTGTAATCTACAGGTTTTTTTTATTCCTGTGGTATGTTATTTTAAGAAGGGCAAAAAGGTTTAAGGATGATAGTGAGAATCCCACAATTTTCAAGCAAAGGTAAGCCAGCTGTCAGAGCACATGTCACAAGAATATTAGGTCTGATTTTACAACATGATGTGACGGATTACTTGAGGATGCCTGTTGTAGTATCAGACTTAATAAAACTGACATTTTTTGCAGGTGTCAGTCTTTCCATGAATTGCTGTTTCTGCTAAATTCTGGTGCAGCCAAGAGATAATCTGAATCCCTGGGAGTGGAGCAGTGATGTGGGTTGTAAATGTCTGAATCTGCAAAGTGAATTTAGCATTTTCGAGCTGGCTGATTTCTAGAGTTTTGTTTTGTTTTGGATTTCGCAGATGGCCACATGTTCTTCACTTTTCTGTGTTTTTTTATTTTTTTTATTTTAGGGTTTATCTGCTGATGACTCCAGTTACGAGTGCAATGCAGATGCAGAGAATGGTGTTGTTATGGAAGGATACCTTTTTAAACGAGCTAGCAATGCTTTCAAAACCTGGAACAGGTAATTGCCATATTTTGGCCTGTTTTGGCTAAATGTTGTTGTGTTTATCTTGGTCATCACTGAGTCTGCAAATTGAATCTGGTTACAATGATATAATTCAGAGAAACTGGATGAGAGCAATGATCAGCACAATGATCAGCACAGTTATACAACACTACATTTATTTTTATTTATTTGTAGTGCTTAGACTGCATTCTTGATTTCCGATTTCATGTCATGCTGCTGCTCTTATTTTGCATTTTTCATTCCTCTTCCTTCTTTCCAGTATGTTTTAATCCTGCCCCATTTTTTCACATGACAGGAAAAAGCCAGACCACTCCAGGTATCAATCAGCCTCTTCTGTCCCCTTCATGTTTTACATGTGGCACGTTTCTCTCCATGTGAACCCTGTAATTGGCATAGATCACTTGCAATGGATAAATCTCCTCAAAATTGCTATTTATCATGTTGAGGGGGTAATAAATTAGTTTTCATTCCACTGAAAGTGTATGTCACATTTTGGCTAAGATGTTTACCTCAGAGGTCCTCCAATTTTAATCCAAAAGTGCATTGCTGTTTTAGTTCCTAGCAACATAGAACTATTCCTTTTCTTGCACCTCCTCATCCCTTTGCTGATGGACAGGAATCATCGTAGATGGAACCTTGCATCTCGTTTCATCCATAACAATCTACCGGCACTTCCATTGGTACATTTACATTGGCAACATAAACTTGGCCCACAATTTAGTGTAGTGCAATGTGATCCTACCATTGCTTACCATCTCCTTTGTGTTGTTACTGCAATTAGAGAGTCTGAAACGGGTTTACATTTGGATTACCTCAAACAAACTTTTTCAATAATACCAAATATTATTGTAGTATAAACTGCTCCAGAATAGTTTGTTTTAAAGGAGAGCACAGAGCGATTTGTGCATGCTACTAAAAAAAAAACAATCTGGACAGATGAATATATATTATATGTCTCATGTACATATGCAGAAAACAGGGCACAAATAATGTACATATTCTTTCTAGTAATCTGCCCAAACACATTGCATGAATAATAATTAGCATTGTAAGACCTTTCCTGAAGTTCTTCCCTAATGGAACCACCTAGTATCCAATGAGAGTTTCTCCATTGCATGTTATCTTTCCTACAGGGTTGAACTCTGTGCTTGCTTGCAGTCAGTTTTGCCCTTTTAACTCCTCTGTTCGTTTCAGGAAATTTCAGTTTTGAAATGTTAACTATAAGCTTGCAATTTGTTGCATCCATCTTTATAGCTCCATGTCCTATATTCAGATCTCTTTTTAACACTTGCATGCTAATGATTGTATCTTTTTAAGTTGTATGAATATCTGCAATATTAACAAGAGGTGCTCCTTGAAGCATCCTTTACTCCCAGCTGATCATTTTATCATTGTGAGTTTATGCTGTGTGTTCTAAATCCAATAACACACACATAAGTGTTTCATGTTCAGTAACTCACTGTAAGATAAAAATGGGCAAATTTATATCATTGTAATCTACAGCGCACATAACTTGGCCGTGGTATTAATCGGAGGAGTACAATCTGCGATATTTTATAACTGTTTTTTTTTTGCATACAAGGGACTATGAGCTGGTGTTTTTAATGAACCTTCTGAGTCAAAGGCCTATCTACTGTAAGCAGGATTAGTTGGGTGGAGTGTATAAACTACATTCTCAATCCCCTTCTGTTTTTAAATCTATTTGTTGTCTTTCGCTTTTTTTGTTCTATTATATCTTTTAAGTTTTTAATTTCAAAAAACACAACCATATATCATTTACATCTAAAATACAAACAATTCTAAATTTCCCATCTCAACCTCCCCTCCCTCCCCCTCCCCCAAATCTCCTCAACCCTCTCTTTCTACTCTTCTTTTTCTTTCTTTCCCTCTGACCTTTCTTTTCCCTTTTCCTGTTTCTGCTACGGTCATACAAGAGATTCCCTGTAAATCTCCTACCGCATGTCAGATCACTGGACCTCCCAATACTTCCAAATATTTTCCGGATGTCTTGAAGCCAAACCATCTTCCCCATTCCTTTCTAAATTTTTCTATTTTACCTTCGTCTATATGGTATAACTCCTCCATCTTGTTTATATAATCAACCCTCTCTAACCAGTCCCTCATTGTTGGAGGCTCCTGTACCTGCCAAAATTTGGGAATAAACCCTTTAGCCACTAATTAGATGGTATAATACACTATTTTTATACTGCTTCACCGGCTCATCTGACCTATAGAATAAACACACCCACGGATGCTTCTGTATGGTTGTCCCCAATATCTCTTGTATAAGTTGGATTATATCTTGCCAAAAGCCCTGTATTTTTAGACAATCTTACCATATATGAGCCATTGTTCCCTTAGCTCTACTTCCCCTCCAATAGAGTGGTGAGACTTCTGCTTGGTATTTGACACCGAGTGTTACACATAGACACCATCTCACTAAACATTTTTAATTAATTTCAACTGTTACATAGTTAGTCTGGCTGAAAAAAGACCATCTAGTTCAACCATAGAAAAAAAAAAAAGTTATAATCCTACACCCACAGTTGATCCACAGGAAGGCAAAAAACCCCCAGCAAAACATGATCCAATCTGCACCTGCTGGGGAAAAAAATTCCTTCCTGATCCCCCAAGAGGTAATCTGATATTCCCTTGATCAACTTTACCTATAAATGTTAGTATCCAGTTATATTCGGTGTATCTAAGAAATAATCCAGGCCTCTTTTTGAAGCAATCCACTGAGCTGGCCAGAACCAACTCTTGAGGGAGTCTATTCCACATTTTCACAGCTCTCACTGTGAAGAAACCTTTCCATGTTTGGAGATTAAATTTCTTTTCCTCCAGAAGCAAGGAGTGCCCCCTTGTCCTCTGTGTTGACCTCAGGGTGAATAGCTCTACACCGAGTTCACTATATGAACCACTGATGTATTTATACACGTTGATCATATCCCCCCTTAATCTCCTCTTCTCAAGTGAGAATAAATTTAGTTCCTCTAATCTTTTCTCTCATATCTGATCTCCTCCATGCCTCGTATCAGTTTAGTTGCCCTTATCTGTACTTTCTCAAGTTCCCCAATGTTCTTTTTGTGAATTGGTGCCCAAAACTGAACTGCATATTCCAGATGAGGTGTTACTAATGATTTGTACAGGGGTAATATGATCTCTCTTTCTGGAGTCTATACCTCTTTTAATACAAGAGAGGATTTTGCTCGCTTTAGAGGCTGCAGCTTGGCATTGCATGCCATTATTAAGCTTGTGATCTACCAGAACCCCCAGATTCTTCTCCACCATCGATTCCCCCAGTTGTACCCCCCCCCCAGTATGTATGATGCATGCATATTCTTAACCCCCAATATGGGGGTGTTCATATTCGTCACACCATCGGATTGGGGCAACTTCGAAACAAAATGTCTTAATTGGTAATTTCTCAATTCATTTAATGCTACAAATATCTATTTTTTACTCTTTAAATCTTGAAAAGTACACAACTCCCCTTTAACTACTATTTCCCCCAACCGTGCATCTACATCCTTAAACCATACCCAGAAATATTATCCTTCCCCTGGCGGAAAAAAAATCATTAACCACGAGGGGAATCAACAGTGAATTATACTTCCAATCCATTTGTTTATGTAATCCATCCCATACTCGTAACACCTCCTGTGTCCGTGTACTACTACTAGTCTCATCCATATTACAAAAAGTGCCTTCTATTTTAACCCAACTCTTCCCCTGTGAGTTGTGTTCAATCTACAATTCGTAACAGGATCACCGCAGTGTAATAATTCTTAATATCAGGCAAATTTAATCCTCCATTTTCTTTCTTATTACACAGAAGTTAATACCCGATTCTCGGCTTCTTCTTAGCCTATATATATTTAATTGTTAATTTTTCTATTATAATTATCGCAAAGAAGGATTTTGTAATGTGGACTGGGAGCATATGAAGTTTATATAGGGTTTTTGGGACTATCACCATCTTAACCAAAGTTATACACACAGTCCAAGAGACTCTTCCCCTTGAAAGTCTTCTCAACTCTTCCTTTATTTTGTTTATTAATGGGGTATAGTTTACCCGATATATATTTTTTTTTATAGAAGGGGTCCATTTTACTCCTAGATAGCCCACTTACTTTTCCTTCCATGAAAATGGAAGTCCTTTTGTAGAGTCTGTATCTCCTTCTTAGAAATATTAATATTCAAGATCTCTGATTTTATGGGGTTTATTTTTAAATTTGAAAGCTCTCCCTATTTTTTTTTATTTAATAATCTCTTTCAGTTAGGTAACGTTAACTCAGGGTTCACAATATAAAACAATATATCATCAGCGTATGCCGCTACCTTATGCTCTCTCACCTATCTTGATTCCTCTAATATCTACACGATTTCCTACCGTTGACAACAAAGGTTCGAAGGATAAAACAAATAACGGGGATAAGGGGCATCCCTGTCTTGTACCATTGTATATCCTAAAAGACTCCGAGAGAGACCCATTTACCTTAACTGCCGCTTTTGGGCCATTATGTAGCTCCTTTATCCAACCCATCATCTTAGTGCCTATTCCCCAGACCTCTAGGGTGTCTATCATGAACCCCCAGTCTACCCTGTCAAATGCTTTTTCAGAGTTGATCGACAATATAATTGTTGGTAATTTTTCTCTTTTTGCCTTCTGTAAGAGAAGCAATGTTCTTAGACCATTATCCCTCCCTTCCCTTCCTGGGACAAAGCCCACTTGATCTAAGTGTATACATTCAGGCATCAGCTCTTTTAACCTCGTACAAACAGTTTTCTGTCTGTGTTTAGAAGTGATATAGGTCTGTAACTAGCACATTGTGAGCTATCCTTTCCTTCTTTTAAAATCATTATATACGCTTGCAATAATTCTGCTCTTATTCCCATTCCCTCTCCTAAGGCATTCATATATATACAGAACTTGGGGACCAATAGGTCTCTAAATTTCTCATAATACCCCACCGTATACCCATTGCCCCCCC